GTTTGTGGGTTAATGTCAGGGTCTTCTATTCGATTCCATTGATCGACTTCTCTGTTTTTATGCCAATACCAAGCTGTTTTCAATACTGTAGCTCTGTAGTAGAGTTTGAAGTCAGGGATGGTAATGCCTCCAGACGCTCCTTTGTTGTATAAGATTGTTTTGGCTATCCTGGGTTTTTTGTTTTTCCATATAAAGTTGATTATTGTCTTCTCCAGATCTGTGAAGAATTTTGATGGGATTTTGATGGGGATTGCATTGAATCTATAGATTGCTTTTGGTAGAATTGCCATTTTTACTATGTTGATCCTCCCAATCCAGGAGCAAGGAAGATCTTTCCATTTTCTGGTGTCCTCTTCAATTTCTTTCTTCAAAGAGTTAAAGTTCTTGTCAAATAGATCTTTCACATCCTTGGTCAGAGTTACCCCAAGATATTTTATGCTATTTGTGGCTATCGTGAAAGGTGATGCTTCTCTAATTTCCCTCTCTGTTTCCTTATCCTTAGTGTATAGGAAGGCCACTGATTTTTTGGAGTATCCTGCCACATTACTAAAGGTGTTTATCAGCTGTAGGAGTTCTTTGGTAGAGTTTTTGGGGTCGCTTATGTATACTATCATATCATCTGCAAATAACGAGAGCTTAACTTCTTCTTTTCCGATACGAATCCCCTTGATCCCTTTATGTTGTCTTCTTGCTATTGCTAGAACTTCAAGCACTATATTGAAGAGGTATGGAGAGAGTGGACATCCTTGTCGTGTTCCTGATTTTATTGGGATGGCTTTGAGTTTTTCTCCATTTAATTTAATGTTAGCTGACGGCTTGCTGTAAATAGCTTTTATTATATTTAGGTATGACCCTTGTATCCCTAATCTCTCCAAGACTTTTATCATAAAGGGGTGTTGAATTTTGTCAAATGCTTTTTCAGCATCTAATGAAATGATCATATGGTTTTTTTCTTTCAGTTTATTTATATGCTGGATTACATTGATAGATTTGCGTATGTTGAACCAGCCCTGCATCTCTGGGATGAAGCCTACTTGATCATAATGGATAATTTTTCTAATGTGTTCTTGGATTCGGTTTGCCAGTATTTTATTGAGAATTTTTGCGTCGATATTCATGAGTGAGATAGGCCTGTAATTTTCTTTCTTGGTTGGGTCTTTGTGTGGTTTTGGTATCAGGGTAACTGTAGCTTCATAAAAGGAATTTGGCAATGACTCTTCTGTTTCTATATTGTGAAATACATTAAGGAGTATAGGTATTAGCTCTTCTTGGAAGTTCTGGTAGAATTCTGCATTGAAACCATCTGCTCCTGGGCTTTTTTTGGAAGGTAGATTTTTGATAACGGTTTCTAGTTCTTCGCGACTAACAGGTCTATTTAGATCGTTCACCTGGTTTTGGTTTAGCTTTGGTATGTGGCACTTATCTAAAAACATGTCCATTTCTTTTGCATTTTCTAGTTTTGTGGCATACAGGCTTTTGTAGTAAGATCTAATGAGTCTCTGAATTTCCTCTGTGTCTGTGGTTATGTCCCCCTTTTCATTTCTGATCTTATTTATTTGTGTGTTCTCTCTCTGTCGTTTAATTAGTTTGTATAGGGGTTTGTCGATCTTGTTGATTTTCTCCTGGAACCAACTTTTTGTTTCATTGATTCTTTGGACTGTTTTCTGTGTTTCTATTTTGTTGATTTCCGCCCTCAGTTTGATTATTTCCAGTCTTCTACTCCTCCTGGGCGTGTCTGCTTCTTTTTTTTCTAAAGCTTTCAGGTGTGCTGTTAAGTCTCCGATGTATGCTTTCTCTGTTTTCTTTAAGTGGGCACTTAGTGCTATGAACTTTCCTCTTAGCACTGCTTTCATAGTGTCCCATAGGTTTGAGTATGTTGTCCCTTTATTTTCATTAAATTCAAGGAAGACTTTAATTTCTTTCTTGATTTCTTCCTTGACCCAGGTGTGGTTCAGTAGTTGACTGTTCAGTTTCCATGAGTTTGTCGGCTTTCTGGAGGTAGGATTGTTGTTGAATTCTAACTTTAATCCGTGGTGATCTGATAAGACACAGGTGGACACTGATATTTTTTTGTATCTGTGGAGGTTTCCTTTGTTTCCGAGTATGTGGTGAATTTTCGAAAAGGTTCCATGGGCTGCAGAGAAGAAGGTATATTCTTTCCTATTTGGGTGGAATGTTCTATAGATGTCTGTTAAGTCCATTTGCTTCATTACCTCCAGTAGTTTTCTTACTTCTCTATTAGGTTCCTGTCTGATTGACCTGTCCATTGCTGAGAGAGGTGTATTGAAGTCTCCTACTACTAGTGTGTGTGGTTTGATGTCTGCCTTGAGTTTTAGTACTATTTCTTTTACATACGTGGGTGCTTTTATATTAGGGGCGTAAATATTCAGGATTGAGACGTCATCCTGACAAATTGTTCCTGTTATGAGTATAAAGTGTCCATCTCCATCTCTTCTGATTGATTTTAGTTTGAAGTCAGTTTTGTTAGAAATTAATATGGCCACACCTGCTTTTTTCTTAGGACCATTTGCTTGAAAGACCTTTTCCCAACCCTTTACTCTGAGTAGATGCCTGTCTTTGTGGTTGAGATGTGTTTCTTGCAAACAGCAGAATGCTGGATCCTGTTTTCGTATCCAATCTCTTAGCCTGTGCCTAGGTGAATTGAGACCATTAATATTAAGTGATATTAATGACCAGTGGTTGTTCATGCCGGATATTCTTGTTGTTTTTGGAAGTAGAATTTGTGTGTCTCCCTTCTTTGAGTTGTGCTAGTGAAGGGTCGCTAGATGCCTGAGTTATTGTAGGCAGTGTTGGCAATGTTGGATTCCTTGGGTTGCAATTTTCCTTCTATTACTTTCTGTAGGGCTGGATTCGTGGCTACGTATTGTTTAAATTTGTTCTTATCCTGGAATGTCTTGATTTCTCCATTTATAGTGAACGAAAGCTTGGCTGGGTATAGTAGTCTGGGCTTGCATCCATGGTCTCTTAGCTTCTGCAGTACTTCTATCCAGGACCTTCTGGCTTTCATTGTTTCCATAGAGAAATCAGGTGTAAGTCTGATCGGTTTACCTTTATAAGTTACTTGGCCTAGCCGGGCGATGGTGGCGCACGCCTTTAATCCCAGTACTCGGGAGGCAGAGGCAGGTGGATCTCTGTGAGTTCGAGACCAGCCTGGTCTACAAGTGCTAGTTCCAGGACAGGCTCCAAAACCACAGAGAAACCCTGTCTCAAAAAAACCAAAAAAAAAAAAAAAGTTACTTGGCTTTTTTCCTTTGCAGCTTTTAGTATTCTTTCTTTAACCTGTATATTTTGTGTTTTGATTATTACATGGCGAGGGGATGTTTTCCTTTGATCCAGTCTGTTTGGTGTTCTGTATGCTTCTTGAATATTCAAAGGAATATCTTTCTTTAAGTTGGGAAAGTTTTCTTCCATAATTTTGTTCAAAATATTTTCTGGGCCTTTGAGCTGTAACTCTTCTTCTTCTATTCCTATTATTCTTAGATTTGGTCTTTTTATTGTGTCCCATAATTCCTGAATGTTTTGTGATGAGAATTTGTTGGCTTTGCAGTTTTCTTTGATCAGAGTGTTTATTTTCTCTATGGTGTCCTCAGAATCTGAGATTCTTTCTTCTATTTCTTGTATTCTATTGATTATGCTTGTTTCTGTAGGCTCTGCTCATTGACCTAGATTTTCCATATCTAGCTGGACCTCAGTTTGTGTTTTCTTCCTTGCTTCCATTTCAGTTTTCAATTCTTGAACTGTTTCCATTACCTGTTTGATTGTTCTTTCTTGGTTTCCCAGGGTATTATTTACGTATTTACTCATTTCTTCAAATTTTTGGTTATACTTCGCATCCATTTCTATAAGGGCATTTTTCACATGTTGTTTAAGGGACTCTACTGCTTTCAAAAAGTCAATTTTTCCACTTCTTCTGTGTTAGGGTGTTGGAGACCTTCTGTTGTAAGATCATTGGGTTCTGGTGTTTTCATGCTGATTTTCAGATTATTGGGTGAATTCTTTCCTTGGTGCCTGCCCATCTCCTCCTATCGATGCTATCTAAGGGGTCTGTTAAAACTGGTTCAGGTTTCCCTGCTGGCCAGGGCCTCCTCTTACAAAATGCCCTTGCTCTGTTTCCTGGTTCCTGCCAGGGGCCAAGATCCCTCTTACCCCTCAGAAGGGTCTTCAGGAATACGACCCGGCTCCTCCTTTGCCAGGGACTTACCTCTTTGGTTTTATTGTAGTGGGGCGATCTGTTCTCGGTGTTTCGCGCGGTCCCTGCAGCCTTCTTCTGCTGCTGGGATGGTTCCCGCCACCAGCAGCCTGTGTCCTCTGCTGCCGCTCCGGTCCCAGCTGGTTCCAGCCTGTCCCAGTCGGTCCCGGCTGGCTGTGCTGGGCGTCCTCCAAGGCTTGGTGTTCCGACTGCCTTCCGCCGCCCGGTGTTCCGGCCGCCTTCCCAAAAATAGAAGTCTTAATGTACATATTTCACACTGCTGGCTTATAGCAAGACTCAATAAGTATTTACCAGTAGCATTGCCTGTATTGTTGCTTTTACAGAATGTAAACATCTGGTAATAATATAAAGTTCTGTGCTAACCTGCCCATCAGCTGAGGGTATTGTTACTGGATGAGGTGCTACGTATATTGTGCTACAAAAAAGTAGACAGCCTGGCCTACATGGAGTGTTATTGGTCAACCTGAGCTATGAGACCTTACCTCAACCTTACCACAACAACCATGAAGCAAAACCAACCAAACAAAACCCTCAGCACAATCTGACCCCTTGAAACACTTGTAAAAAAGCAAGACTCTAGGTTCCTTCCCCTCTAAAGCTCCCATTTACAAAGTCTTCTTCCCTTGGAGAATGAGAAGTGTGGCTTTGCAGCCTTTAAACAGTGAAAGCTGGATCTGTGGATCTATGTTTACTCCCCATATACAACCAAACTCTTGATTTCTAACTGGGTTTGCTTTTTCTGTTTTGTCATCTTTTTTTCCCTTTGTAGGAGGATACTCCATCGAGACTTGAAATCAAAGAATGTATTTCTGAAAAATAATCAACTTAAAATCGGTAAGATGTTTCAAATGCCTGCTCTAAAGCTCCAAGCAAGTTTATCCTAGATGCAGTCACAGCAAGCTGAAGTGCATAGTTCAAGTTGGTACTGAAGTAATCCAGCCATGGCTTCTTCAGTCTTTGAAAATGTTTCCTCTGACCTGGATGAGACCAACAAATTCCAGTTATTTTGTCTGTGATTGTCTGATATAAATTGAAGCATAAACCCTTGCTCCATGGCTGGTTGATTTAATAGGCATGCTTTGCAATCCTCCCCTTTATGGGGCACTTTGTAAACAGTTGACTTGTTTTGCTGGTTTTATGAACTGCTGTAGGTTCTTCATCTACTTAAAAGTTGTATGATTTTTATGTGTATGAGCATCATGCCTGTATGTATGTTCGTGTACCTCTTACATGCAGTACTCACTGAGGCCAGAAGGGGGCCTTGGATCCCCTGGAACTACAGTTAGAGCTTGGTTGTGAAACTGTGGGTGCTGTGAATTGAACCTGGGTCCTCTGGAAGAGCAGCCAATGAGTACTCTTAACTACTGAGCCATCTCTCCATCCCCACTCACTTATTTTAGTATGATCAGTGAGCAGTGACCATACATAATTTAAATGCCGCTATAATGGCTTTATTAATATTTAATTCTTTGGAACAATATCTCCATTCAAATAGTCACTCAGCTGTCTAAGCATCTCACAGGGTGTTCTTAGGGAAGTAAAGAAAACAGGTTGTGACTAATTAGAAAAGTCAGTTGGTTCAAATTTTTGTACGTATATTCATGAATAGTTTAAATCTTTAGAATTTTCCCTCTGTTGTGATTTTAGATGAAACTCTTCTCCCTGCTCGTGAACTTTCATGTCTTCATATTCAATCCACCAGAATCCTTCTGTTAGTTCTTATTATACTTCAACTGGCTTAACAGCAGGTGACTCTAGTTTTCTATAATTCTAGAAATAATAAGGAATCTGAGGTTATATAATTCACTTTCCTTGTTCAGTTTTCCTTCTCCTATAGAGCACATATGTCTGAAGTTATTGATCACCATTATGTCATTTAAAATGTCACTTTCCTGTTCCTTTAAATGGCACGAAGCACTGCGATACATATGATGAAGTTGTTAAATCAGCTTTAGTTGTTAATTTCCAATGGTGCTTTTTTTTGTCTGTTTAAAATATTTATACAAAGTAACCACAATTTCCAGGGGATTTTGGAGTTTCTCGACTGCTAATGGGATCGTGTGAGCTGGCTACAACTTTAACCGGGACTCCCCATTATATGAGTCCTGAGGCCCTGAAGCACCAAGGCTATGATGCCAAGTCTGACATCTGGTAAGTAGGTGGTGGCTGCCCAGGGACTTCTTTCTCTGCCATCTAAGAGGGCTGTACGCTTTGTTTTGAAGTTCATCTGCTTACTCCAGCTACTCACTCTGTCCCTTTTGGCATTTGAGTTGTTCCGTGGCCGGAGGGAGATGAGGCCTTGGAGCTTGTTATACTCTGTGAAATTCATTTCAAAGATTCTCTCTATTCATAGATGAGTCGACGGGTTTGGATTCTGTCATTCCTGAACCACAGGGGAAAGTTCTTAATGCGGCAGACACATTAAATTTTAATGTGCTTCAGATAGCCTGTTAAATAAGGCATTTGTCATCCTAAAGACCAGGCTTTATTTTATTTTAAGGTTAACTCCCAGCTCTGTAGGGAATATGCTGCTTTTCTGCATTTTTAAAGAATTTTTCTAAAGATACTGGATTTATGGGTAACCAACATTTACCGTTTCCTGGGTTTTCAGTGAAAGAGGCTTCTGTGATATTCCAGTTCCGTGGCGCTCTTGGATCAGGCAGAGCCACTGGGAAAATGCCTCAGTCTGTCCTGCTGTCAGCAGCGGGCCCTGTTCAGGGAGTGTTGTTGTGCTTTGAAGGGAGCTTACATAATTTTCAGCATCCAAGGGTTGAATGACAATCTAGCCGAGAGCTTGTTCATTAAGTAAAAATAATTATTGTATGCAAATCAGCATTAAGTAGCTCTGAACTTTCAAGGGTGAGCAATGTGAAAGGCATGCCCACTCTGTTTTCTAAAGATGATGAGGTAGAAAATGCCCTTTGGTGTGGTTAGGGAAGAGTGAACCACCACAGAGCAGCTGGTGGAGGGCCCTTGTAAGAGTTATTTCTCTCTTTACTCTGGTGCCTCCCATGGGAGAGGAGCTGTCAAGATTTGCTCTGTCTCTGACCTCCACATAATCCCATCCCTTTGTTTCTGTCTTGTGATTGTGTTTTCTTAGGTTCTCCATTATAGCTTGCTCTCGCTAGAGTCTTTTGTCTTAGAGGTCCATTCCAGTTCTCCCTTCACTTTCCCTAGTCCTTCCCCATGTGCACCCCACACCAAAGTAAAAAGAAAACTGAAACAAAAAGCAGAAAACAAAACCTACAAAAGAATGCCACCAAGAACCTCCTTCTTTACATCGTTTAACTGAGCGCATACTTCTTCCCTAGCACTGATCAGTACCCTGGGTCTAAAAGCAGAAACACTTGCCTCTTGGCTCCTTGTGAAAAGCCTTGCTCATTTTGTGATTCCGTTTTCAGCTCAAAGACAGCAGTTCTGGGCTTTGCAGTGGCTGTTAGTTACCTACCCACCTCTCTCTTCACACTTAACTTTTAAAATACTATGGATTTTAAAATAAATTCAAATAGGGGTGGGGAGGACAATGGGGGAGAGGAACTTGGAGGGAAGGATGTGGGGAGGATGTAAAATAAACAGATGAATAAAAATAGATTCAAATATGTAATGTCTTTATGACTTATGACTATGTCATCTTAAGTTATTGTGCCATTCCATCTGGTTAGGAACAGAAAGTTCAGAAAGCCTTTGTGTAAGTGTCAGGGATGATGTGTGGCAGTATGCCTGATTCCTTTAGACTGGGTGTTCACACCTTTCTGCCAGATCAGAGGGATGACTCCCAGGAAATGGAGGCAGTAGAACCCCAAGGGAAACAAAGCCTCTTCTTCACTTCATCTGTGCCCATTCCACTTTTTTTTTTTAAACAAATTATCCTTGTATTACATGGGAAATGATAAGAATATCAAGCAGTATCCCTGTGGTGTTTTGTGGCTACAGAAGTACCTGACACACACAAAATCCTGGCGTTGGATCAGCCCCCTACCGTGATTATAAACTACTCAGCAAGTGTGAGCTGAGAATGTATCAGCATCTTGACCCCAAATAACCACTTTATTATGAATTTAGTAATTACTTTGCTTGTATCTAAATCAAAACAGGCTTATCTAGTAATGAAATTTCGGCTGCCAAGTCTAAAGTGGGACAAATATGGGAGAACTATTAATTATAGTGCAGATAGAGAAGTGTGACAAGTGATCTTAGCGACACACTCAGGAAAATTAGATTGCACGAGCTGGGAACTCATCTCAGCCTCTGAGTGGGTAGCATCTATGTACCGGGCAAAATTTTCTTGGAACTGGGAGTATATATGAATAATTTATAGAGCTTTGCTTTAGCACTAATAGTGGGACATACTATATTTATAGCACTTAAAAAAAGAATTAGTCTAATACTAATTACATTTTCATCTGTTAACACTTGCCCGTATGCAGCCTTACCTACCTTCTGTAATCTGTTAGACCTGCCTGCCAGGTCATTCTCTCTGTTTTTATGCCAATTCCAAGCTGTTTTCATTACTATAGCTCTATAATAGAGGTTGGTGTTAGGGCTGGTGATACCTCCGGAAGTTCCTTTATTGTATAGGATTGTTTTGGCTATCCTAGGTTTTTTTGTTTTTCCATATGAGGTTGATTATTGTTCTTGCAAGATCTGTGAATAATTGTGTTGGGATTTTAATGGGGATTGAATTGAATCTATAGATTGCTTTTGGTAGGATTGCCATTTTTATTATGTTGATCCTACCTGTCCAAGAACATGGGAGATCTTTCCATTTTCTGGTATCTTCTTCAATTTCTTTCTTTAAAGACTTAAAGTTTTTGTCAAACAGGTCTTTCACTTCTTTGATTAGTGTTACTCCATGATATTTTATATTATTTGTGGCTATTGTGAAGGTTGATGTTTCTCTGATTTCTTTCTCAGCTTATTTATCATTTGTATATAGGAGGGCTACTGGTTTGTTTTTAGTTGATCTTGTACCCTGCCACATTACTGAAGGCATTTATCAGTTTTGAAAGTTCCCTAATAGAGTTTTTGGGGTCACTTATGTATACTATCATGTCATCTGCAAATAATTAAAGTTTGACTTCTTCCTTTCCAATTTGAATCTCCTTGATCTCCTTTTGTTGTCTTATTTTTTGAAATTTTTATGTGAATGTATGGAACTAGAAAAAACAATCCTGAGTGAGGTAACCCAAACCCAGAATGATGAACATGGTATGTACTCACTCATAAGTGGTTACTAGCTGTAAAGCAAAGGATATTGAGACTATAGTTCATGCTCCTAGAGAAGCTAAGAAACCAGGCAAACCCTAAGGAAAGAAGATTAATAGATCCACCTTGAAAGGGGAAATAGACAAGATTGCTTGACAAAATTGGGAGCATGGGGTTGGTGGGAGTAGGGAGGGTGGAAGGGGAAGATGAAGGGAGAAGGAGAAGGGTGAGGAGAACTTGAGGGAATTGAATAGTCAAGATGAAAGAAGGACAGAGAAGAGGAGAGGGGGCCTGAACTGACCTTGCCCTGTCAGACTGATGAATATCTTAAATATCACCATAGAACCTTTGTCCAACAACTGATGGAAACAGAGGCAGAGACCCCCATTGGAGCACTGGACTGAGCTCCCAAAGTCCAGTTGAAGAGTGGGAGGAATGAGAAATATGAGCAAAGAGGTCAAGAGCATGATGGGTACACCTACTGAAACTGTTTACCTGAGCTAATTGAAGCTCACCAACTCCAGCCAGACAGGGGAGGAAACAACATAGGTCCAAACTAGTCCCTCTGAATGTGTGTCAGTTGTGTGGCTGGGACAGACTGCTGGGCCACTGGCAGTGGCACCAGGATTTTATCCCTATTGCTTGTACTGAGAAATCTGTTCTCATAGGATAAATACTTTGCTCAGCCAGGATATAGTAGGGAGGGCCTCGGACCTCAGCAATGTGCCTTACCCTCTCTGAGGAGAGAATGGGAGGTAGGGCAGGGAGATTAGATGGAAAGAATGGGAGTAGGGAGGGGAGGGGAGGGAGTAGAAACAGGGATTGGTATATAAAATGAAAAATGATAGTTTTCTTTTTTAAAAAAAGAGAAAAAATCTTATAGAGATCAGGGATACAAGAAACATAATTAAATATAATAAAAGCAATATACAACAAGCTGACAGATTACATTTAATAGAGAGAAACTCAAAGCAATTCCACTGAAATCAGGAACAAGACAAGGCTATTCACTCTCTCCATATCTATTCAAAATAGTAATTAAAATTTTAGCTAGAACAATAAGACAACAAAAGGAGATCAAGTGTATATTAATTGGAAAGGAAGAAGTCAAAGTGTTACTCTTTGCAGATGCTATGACAGTATACATAAGCACCCCCCAAAATTCTACCAGGGAGTTCCTACAGCTGATAAACACTTTTAGCAAAGTGGCTGGATGGCAAGATTAGCTCAGAAAAAATCAGTAGCCCTCTTATATACAAATGATAAGAGGGCCGAGAAAGCAATCAGGGAAACAACACCCTTCACAATAGCCACAAACAATATAAAATGTCTTGGGGTAACTCTAACCAAGCAAGTGGAAGACCTGTGTGTTTTAACTTTTTAAGTTTCACTACACCTGGGCAGTTTATGCTAATTTTCAATTCTAAGAGTTATTTAGGTTATTATACACTAAAGGGAAGCCCATTCCTCTTGTATTAACTTTTTATTTCTTTCTCTAGACATGTAGCTGTAGTCATTATGTATGCTTTTTAAATTTTAATTTTCTTTTTGAAAGACACCATGACGACGGCAACTCTTATAAGGAAACAGTTATTATTATTATTATTTAAGATTTGTTTATTATTTATTTTGTATACAGTATTCTGCCATGCATGTGTGCCTGCGGGCCAGAAGAGGGCGCCAGATATCATTGGGGACGGTTGTGAGCCACCATACAGTTGTTGGGAACTGAACTCAGGACCTTGGGAAGAGCGGCCAGTGCTCTTAACCAGTGAGCCATCTCTCCAGTCCCCTAAGGGAACATTCAATTGGGGCTGGTGTACAGTTCAGAGGTTTAGCTCATTATCATCATTGCAGGAAGCATGGCGGCACACAGGCAGACATGGTGCTAGAGAGCTAGCTGAGTGTTTTACATCCAGATTTGCAGGCAGCAGGAAGATAGTGAG